TTAGGTTTGTTTATATTGTTGTTATGCCTATGTCCCTGGGACTCCTATAACTGGGGTCCCAGGACCCCCAGTGGTCTGCAATCTGTAGCATGGGGGCGTCTTCAAAAAATTAGTCATACCATTTAAAAAAAATTTTTTTAAAGTGCAAATACTGTACATATGGAGAACAATGCACCAGTAAAAAAAACAATCAAAATAAATATATGTTCCCATGGCATTTAAGGGTTAAAATAGCAGTAAATAATTTTTGAATTAGCATGAGGTTTATGAGGAAGTCCCTAGATAACTTTTCTCTCTTGTAAGTGGTCCCCAGACCCAAAAGTTTGAGAACCCCTGCTTTAGACCATCTAGGTTAAAGATAAATAAGACAACAGAACCAAATCATTATTTACTTGTTTATTTAAATTCAAGATCTCAACCCCAAATCCAACATTTGGACTTTTTTTTTAATGCAAATACATGCCAAGCAAAATCAGTAAAATTAAATAAATAAAAAAGGCTAGCTGAAATTGCCTGTTTTGTGCATCACAAAGTGTAAAATCTTCCATCTATGCACCCCGCACTGGAAGTCTACAGTATAATTTAATATATGAAACTTAAAAATCTTCCCAAATCCTTGTATGATTTGATCTATTGTTTTCCCATTTCAAAATAAAATGAGAAAAACAAATGATTTTTTAAACAACTAAATTAGAAAAACGACAATTGCAAAAACTACGGTTTATGATTTGTTCAAAAAATGTATATGTATTTTATTGATTAAAGCAAAGTGTTTTGTTAGCGCACCATTTGGGACCTCCAGGAGCATTACGTTTTCAACCATTGATATATTTGTCTTATTAGAGGTAGTCGACACAACTCATTGAGAGCTGATGATCATATCGTGAGCAAAATTGTTTTCATATTCTAAGTTATGCAAAATAGGGTTTGGGTGCTAATATGTTTTGGAATGGTTTCTTGTTTCGGTGTGAACTTCCACTATAAGCCACTATAAACTCCTTCTTTGGTGACTTTTCATCATTTCTGGTATCGCTACATATTAGTTTTGTTACATTTTAACATTTGGATTTCAAAAAATGGAAAAAAAACTATTGCAATTTTGCTTTGAAACAGAAAAACCAAAGAAGGAATCAAACAGATATTCCCAAAGGTTTTGATCTTGACGTTACACTTTAAGCTTTAGTGTACAGTTTCTAATAAAAGCATCTCCCTGAGACTGTAGAGATGTTTAAAGTGGTGTCCGAGTTAAGTTTCACTTTCCCACTTCAGAAAGCACTGCCCCACTAGTAATATTTGTATTATAACAGTCCTCTAGCTGTCATTAGTTTATGCATGAAAGCTTCTGTGTTTCTTTTTTTTTTGCATGTGGCACAGTTTAACCAAAGTACTTATGCAAAACATCAGTCCAGTTAAACAGTCCTCTGTGCAGCTCCTTTCACCAAGTGATGCTTTAAGAAGATTAAAGTCGGAATGACATGAGCAGTTTTCAGCAGGTGTTTGAGAGTTCACTGTGTCGTGTTTGCTTTTTTTTTTTTTTCATCCTTCTTCTCTCCAGAAAAATTATCACATGCCAAAGAGGAGAATCTGGGCATGCACCAAGTCCTGGACCAGACCCTGCAGGAACTGAACAGCTTATAAAGTCGCGCTCGGAGAGGATGAGACTGTCATTAACATTCCACTAAATGTTCGACTCCATTCCACATTTTGAGCTGTAAAACTTTTCCTCCCCTCAAAAAAGTAGGGGCGGATTAACTTAATACATGTCCCTTGTCTTTTTTTTTTTTTTTTTTTGGTTCTTTTGAAAAACAAAATCATCTTGAATCCATTCTTTTTTACCTCCACGTCTGATCACAGAAATTACTTCCTGAACTTAATTTTTGATTACATATTTAAGAACAAATTGGCAATAAATTCACTCAAAAAGCCTCTTATTGATCCCAAATCAAAACAATCTGTAACGGGTTTAATTTGATGTTTTAGGTGCACGTTATTTCTCTGATCATGTCTAAGGCACAGGTTTCAGGTGACAATGGGTTTAACTCAGGCTGCATTGGTGTAGCTCTGATATTCCAGCTTGTGGTGATATGAAGTTACTCAACATATTTTTTGTCCCCCTTTTATGTTCTTTAAGGCTGTTTTTTTTTCCTGTTTCAGTCTAAATTCAAATGGGTTTTCACATGGTGGCCTGAAGGAAAGGCGTCAGTTAAAAATACACTATAAGGGCGCATGCTGCTCATGAACTTTATACCTTTTTTTGCACTTAAATAACATTGAATGCCTCTTCAGCACCACTTTGACCAAAGTGAGGCTATCATCTTGAATATTTAGTGCACCAAACTTAATTGCGAGGACCTACCGAGCCCAGTTTGTGCTAACTTTTCCTTCAGTTTGCCCAGACCACTATCATTGTCAAAAATAGTCAATATGTGCCATGATAAAGCCAATATTTACCTAAATTTGTTCTAAGACCTGAGCGAGCTCAGTCACAATCATGGATACTTACTGTACATAGTAGAAGAAAGTTAGGTATGTGATAAAGTTGTATTTCTTTTTTTCTTTCTACCCCATTTGCGTTTCTTTTCTCCAGGGAAATTCTCAAAACCAAAGATCACATGACATACCAATTTATTTTTCCTTTTTAATGTTTTATTGTTTGTTTCATTGTGGTTCTCAGCATCATGTCAAGACCTCGGAAGCCACCTCTTATTTGATTGTGACCCTCTGTTAAAATAGTTCATTCAGCCCCCCCTTCCCCTCCCATGTCAACACAATAAATGTTTTACAAAAATCCTGGTTCATTTGACTTTTTGCATTGTTTTAATAGTTTCATTGACAAGAGTGGGAAAAAAAGGTAGTGTTTAAATGTCAGTGTGATTTTCATACATTTCATGGAGAACGTTTAGGCCTGAGCGGGCAAAGACCAAAGTGAATTAATGCAGTCTTGAAACTATTTTATTAGTTTAGAATTCTGTTACCAGTTTTCATTCTGCAGAAAGTGCTTCAGTGTCCACCATAAATGCTACAGCTAGCTGCTGTTGCTATCTGCAAATAAATAATTTCATGTATAACTATAAAATGACACACTTGATGTCTATATATCATAATTTTAATGAATAATTTGGCATTTTAGTTGAAGACATCTAAGACTTAAGAAATCTGCTTTGATCTTGACCCAACTCTGGGTAGTTAGCTTGTTAATCTGGTTGGAATTACACTTTAATTTCTATAAAGTGAGGTCGTTCAAAAAGCTGTCTTGGACAATTATTAAATGCTTATAACCTTCACACAACTCCACTTGCAACCATTTGATACTTTTAAATGTCTTCTAATGCTATAATTTCGTGAACAATCCACATGCAGATTCATTTTTCATTATAAAATGATGGTCTTGGTAGTTAAATAATTGCAAAGCAGAATAACTGATCATTTCATTCTACTGCCCCCTGTTGATAATTAGGCTTCATTGCAGCTCATGAGTGTTTCCTCCTGAAAGCACAGCCTATATGTGGAAAAGACAACATGAGAGTCTTATTGCAAACACAACATGAAATTTAGGTTTTTGTGACTTTGCCCCACCTGCTGTTAGTCTGCATTTGCCCCCTCCTGGCCTGCAGAGGACCGTGTAGCAGCCGGGACAAGCTACTACTGTCTGAGCGTGGCTGAAGATGGTGTTGATTCTGTAGCAGCCTGTGGTGTTGGTGATAAGAAAATGTTCAGAGTGATGACTCGCTACGGATGATAGGCTCAGGAGTGATGGCTACCTGTGCATTTGACATCCATGAAGTAAGAGTTGGGGCTCTGCACCAGCCTCTTCTTCTTGTGTCTCCTCAGCTCCTCAGCTGAACTGGGGTGCATCAAATCTTTAGCCATCTGCAGAGGAGAGGAGAGGGTTTTTAAATGTCTCCATTGTTTTACATTGTTTTACTGGCCTGAATTTACTTTGAGGCTACTTGTGTTACATCATATGTACTGCACTTTGCTGCCTCCTAGAGTCTGACTAAAGAATTACTCAACCAAACATGTCCAGACAAGTTCAGTTCATCAAACCTAGACACTGAAAAACTAATATAT